ATCTAAAGAAAACGGACATATTGTGTTTTGAAAACTAATTGAGAAGGCTGCTTTTATTACGCAATGATTTGAATGATCTATTATATGTAACCCATCGATAATAGTCAACCCATAGTTATTTACAGGCTTGATGTTTCCCCATAGCAAATATTCTAATGTAATGCTGTTAATTCTCTAGCACGCAGTAAAGATGGCAGAGACGAGGATATCCAGCCTCTTGTCTGCGACAATGGAACTGGATGGTTAAGGTACAAAGTGAATTTTTTTGTCTTTGTGAAATAGGCTACCAAAATACCGATCTTTGGCTAAGCTAATATAAATCATATCTCATGAGTATGCCTTAAAATTGTTGCTAAATTCTTATAAAATTGTGCTAATACAATTATAAATCTGTTATTAGGCTGGGTTTGCTGGAGATGATGCTCCAAGGGCTGTGTTCCCTAGCATTGTTGGCCGCCCTCGTCATACTGGAGTGATGGTTGCATGGGGCAGAAAGATCTATGTTGGGGATGAGGCTCAGTCCAAGCGAGGTATTTTGACTCTGAAGTACCCAATTGAACATGGCATTGTTAGCAATTGGGATGATATGGAGAAAATTTGGCATCACACCTTCTACATGAACTTCGTGTTGCTCCGGAAGAACATCCTGTTCTCCTCACTGAAGCACCTCTCAATCCAGGCCAATCGTGAGAAGATGACCCAGATCATGTTTGAAACTTTTAATGCTCCAGCTATGTATGTTGCTATCCAGGCTGTTCTTTCACTTATGCCAGTGGTCGTACAACAGGTAAGATGTTTATTTAGTTTCTACCAATGTTTTAGTTAGCTTGATTTGGTATATATTTGGGTTAACCGGCAAAATACCTTATCAAACATCAAGTAGTATTTGTCTTGTTCCTGAAGAAGATAGTGTTTATTAGGAAACTCTCGCTCTTTTTTTCTTCTTCAGTGCTAGTCTTCATATGACAGCTTAACAGGGTATTTGAACTGGGTTCTCTCTCTCTTTTTTTTTTACTTTCTTTATTGTATTTTTAAATGAATCCAAGGTCTTAGTTAAGTTTAGCATTTCTTTTTGACGTATTTTTTATTGAGTAATACGTGAGTAAGTGGTACATTTGCAATTGTTTTTGGGAAATATATGTAACTTTTTAAAGAAACTTGAAAAAGAAATTTTGAATAGTTAAAATTATTGTGCACCAAAAAAGAAACTACTTTTTACTCCTGGATCATCTAATTTTATTTGAAATTTAGTAAATCATATGGGGTCATTTTTTGGTTATAACACCAGTTTTGCCTGTAGACATGGGTTAGTATTTCTTATTTGTTAATAGTTCTTTGTAGTTTTCACAGTACTGGTGATGATCTGTGTATGATGCTCCTTTCTGCAGGTATTGTGCTTGATTCTGGAGATGGTGTCAGCCATACAGTCCCCTCTATGGGTTATGCTCTTCCTCATGCCATCTTGCTCTTGACCTTGCTGGTCGTGATCTCACTGACGCCCTGATGAAAATCTTGACTGAGCGTGGTTACTCATTCACTACCACAGCCGAGCGGGAAATTGTGAGGGACATGAAGGAGAAGTTGGCATACATTGCTCTTGATTATGACAGGAAATGGAACTGCTAAGACCAGCTCTTCTGTGAGAAGAGCTACGAATTGCCTGACGTCAGGTGATCACAATTGGAGCTGAGCGTTTCCGATGCCCAGAAGTCCTTTTCCAGCCTTCCATGATCGGAATGGAAGCTGCTGGTATACATGAGACAACTTACAACTCCATAATGAAATGTGATGTTGATATTAGAAAGGATTTGTCGAACATTGTACTTAGTGGTGGTTCCACAATGTTCCCGGTATCGCTGATAGAATGAGCAAAGAAATCAGCGCATTAGCTCCTAGCAGTATGAAGATTAAAGTGGTGGCTCCTCCTGAGAGGAAATATAGTGTCTGGATTGGAGGATCTATTTTGGCATCTCTCAGCACTTTCCAACAGGTAATTTTCTTTTAACATACAGATATTAATCAGTGATTTTATATAAGTTACTAATCTGAAAGTTCCTGATGAGCGATTTTTTACTTTTTCATTTCCTTTTGGGTGCAGATGTGATTGCTAAGCTGAGTATGATGATCTGCCCTTAATAGTCCACAGGAAATGCTTCTGATTAAACAGCATAAATGGACTCAAGTGCTATGTATTTTGAAAGAAAATGCCGCTTACATTCTCATTCATTTTGTTGTCTTTTCTTTGTGGTTCTTCAATTTAATTTCTGAACACATCACCTTAAAAAAAAAAAATTCAGTGATTGCTGTATTATTTTCTATTCTTTTTTTTTCCTATGTAGTGAAGAACTTTGCCCATCAATCAAACCCTTATGTAGTGTTAATTCAGAAATCTGTCTTTTTTATTCTCTTCTACCTTTTTTGATTTGTTGGGAAAATGAGGTTATGCCGCTTGGCCTTGGGGATAAATTATGTGAATGCAGACTCTTAATGATAATACTTTGAGCTTGAATGCTTAAAATGTTATTGGTTTCTCAGATTTAATGTTTTATAGAGGTTACATTGCTCTTTTATATTCCTCTGGAGTAGAAGGCTAATTTATATTCCCGAATTCATGTTGGGTGGTGTTATACTTGGTTTAAGGAAACAGATTTTTCAAGAATCATTCTGGGATAGTCGCCACAGCTGATGCAATCTCCCTACCCCATTAGATTTCTTCATAATCTCTAAGGAAAGACATGAACTTGCATGAGCACAGAGGTTTAGTGATTTGCATTCCACTTTTTTAGATCCAGTTCATAATATGAAGCAATAATAAGGGTTTTCTTTGGTAAGATTTGAATCCAGAACTCGTTGCTTTATACCATTACACAAAAAATGATTAGTGGATGCAGCCGTTTATAAAACACATCAAAAAGATGTAACGTTTAACTACAAGGGTGGTCAGACTTTTAGTTGTCAAATTTTGATAGTTGTTTATGACCAATTGATATTTTTGTTAACGATAAACATATAATTGCATAGATTGACAACCACAATGTAAGATCATTAATAAATATGATGACCAACGACAATGTGCCCTTTTTTTATTATTTTGGATGACCGAGGGTGTCCAGAGCAGTTCACGTGCACTCAATTAATCTCCCGCGACTCTAAACACTAATCTTCAGGACTTTGAAATTACTGACTGGATAAGAGTTTCAATGACTACCCCTGTTAGCATCGAGAAGGGACTCAAATTTAAGACCTCTTGAGTAATACACCTAGAGTCCCTATCGGACCCTAGATCACCTAGATGTTTTGCTATAATCTTTCACTTTTTTTAAAATTAAATTATTAAATTTATTTTAAAAATAATATAAATTAAGTACATTAATCCTCCTGGGGGTATGATATAATACATAAATTTTGTGAGGTTCATGAAATAACAAAAAGCACTCTTTGTCGTTAATGATCTATTAGTAGCCGTTAAAATTTATATTGTTATGATTTAGTAAATATTACTAAATTGTCATACTACTATTTATTTAAACACCTAAAACTTAACGGCGAGGAATTCTATTATTTCAAAAACCTCAGGGGTATTTGTTGTTATATCTTACTTCAGAGGATAATGCAATAATTCTATAAATTTATATAAATGGTTCAAACCCATCCTAAGCCCAACCAATTATCTATATGAAGTGATTTTTAACCCCCATCAAATTGAGATATCTCTACTTGTAAGTATAGTTTTTTTGTGTTGACAAGTTTAGCTTTCATAACATGATAATTTTTAAATACACTCAGTCTTTGTTTTATATTTTTGTTTTAATTTTTACATAAACCCTAACTCTAAATTTTTTTAAATCATTGAAATAATGTTTTTTTTTTTTTTTTTCAAATAATTATTTGTTTGATGAAAATATAAAACTAAAACTATGGAGAAAGTAATACACAACAAGATGAATCTGAATATAAAGAAGAAAAAAGTAAGTTTCAAATTTGAAATTCAGAAAAAAGGGTATAATTAAAAAAGAAAAACGCAATTAAGAAATTGAGAAAAAGGGGTATAATCAAAAAGAAAAACCCAATTAAGAAATTGAGAAAAAGGGGTATAATTAAAAAAGAAAAACTCAACTAAGAAATTGGGAAAAATGGTGTAAACAAAACCCTAATTAAGTTTGAAATTGAGGAAAAATAATATAATAAAAAACATTGATTAAGTTTGAAATTGGGGAAAATTGATGCAAATAAAAACCCTAATTAAACCTAATGAAGCGGGTCTATTTTTTGTATTAAATAGGATTTAAAGAAAACTTTTTAAAACATAATAGATGTGTATTTAATAGTGACGGATAGTCATCAATTTAATAGGAGTTAAAAATCACTTCCCTTATCCAGTATCATGCTAATTCTCTGAACAATAATACTAAATCCACAACCTTCTCTTACAATCTTCGACGTGGTAGTTCATTGGTTAGCTTGAAAATGAGCAATGGGATCCATTTTGCGAGCTAACCCTTATTTTCGAACTAACTAATGACGAGCTATTATGTTGAGGATTGTGAAAGAAAGTTGTGGTACCGAGTTATGGAAGAAAGTTGTGATATTGGGTTGTGACCTAGCAATACTCTTCTCTGAGTTGATGGGCTGAACTGGACGGGTTTTATCGCAACCCTTGACGCTTGAGACCAAAGCCCGCAATTAGTCACTTGCCACAGTGCCATGCCTCTCATCTTATTTATAAACGCAGCATTTTCAATTCTTAACACAGGATCAATACCCAAATTCAGAATTCTTTTCTTTCCTTCACTCCTCACGTCCATCAATGATGCCAGAACTATTGTGGCTAGAATATAACAGTTGGGATTTATATGACGAGGAAGAGCAACAAAAGAAGATGAATTAGAGAGAAAAGGGGGATCAAGGCTCAGGTCTCTGAGATTGAGAAACGTTAATCCCAATAGCTTTAGTCCTTTTTCTTGGTGCAGAGTCAATTCTTAACGGAGAACAGAGAGAAATAGATATGGGTAGAGTGGCAGTTGCTGTGATTGTGAGCTTGTGGGTCATTCCCATTTCAATTCTCGTAAATCGCATTGTTCCTGACCCTTACATGGTAAGAATTATATCCCCTTTTATTAATTTCTCTGTAAAAATCTGCTGCTAAGCTGAAGCTATTCTCACCACTAGCTGTTGTTTGCAGGATGAAATATTTCATGTTCCCCAGGCTCAGCAGTACTGCAAAGGCAATTTCAAGAGTTGGGATCCCATGATCACAACTCCTCCTGGCCTGTATGCTATTTCTATGTTTCAATTTTTCATTTTGTTTATTTGAAGTTGAAAGTTAATGAAGAATGATTGAATTAAATGGATATGATCATAGTTGTGTTCAAATAAATTTATAGGATTGGAATCGGATGCCATTCATTAGTTTTCTTGCTTTGTTATGAAATTTCGCTTGAATGATAATGTTTGTTTTTTTGAAGTGGTAAACTGAGCTACATTATGAAGAAACAAATAAAAGAAATGTTTATTTAATATAATAATTTTAGGAACGTTTGTAATGAGAAATCCATTTATGAATATGGAAAATTTAAGTGCTGTTGAAATTCATTTTAAGGCTTGCTTTATTGTTTGCTAGTTCTGGCTTGCAACTTAAATCCTAAGAAATAATATCTTAGTAATAGAAGTTGATACGTGTGGTGTAAAACTTTTGCAGGTACTATCTTTCACTTGCCCCTGTTGCTTCTTTGTTTCCAGCCATGTTCTTTATACAAGCAGTGTCATCATTTTTTGAAGTTTGCTCCACTTCGGTTCTTCGCTCTGTAAATGGTGTGTTGGCAGTATTATGCAGCATTATCATATATGAGATAATAATTCATTTGAGACCAATTCTTGATGGTAGAAAAGCAACTCTTCGTGCTGTGGTCCTAGCGTTGTACCCTCTCCACTGGTTCTTCACTTTTCTTTACTATACAGATGTTGCATCACTTACTGCAGTACTTGCTATGTACCTTGCATGTTTGAAGAAGAAATATCAGCTTAGTGCATTGGTAATGATGTCAAGTCAACTTTCTCATTTAGAATCTCTACACATGATGAAAGTTTCTGGATTTAATTTCATGGTTTTGTAGACATGGACTTTTCATTTTCTCATTTTTTTCTTTTTAAATTTCACTATGTTGTGGCATAGTTTTTGGTTCGAGAGGTTAAAATTTAGAAGCAATCCTCAGGGAAGCTTATTTTAACAGACAACTTTACATTTTTTTTTTTTTTTTTGGGGTTTTGTTGACTTAAGCAGTAGAATCTGCATTTAGTTCCTTAAATATTGACATTTTAAAATATGTAGTTTTCTATCATCTGTTTATCTAGCTCATCTCAAGGAAAGATTTCAGAAAGTGGTTGGTTGTATCATTCAAAGATTTTTTCATGAGCTCATCATGCGACATTTCCTTTCATCTGAATTACCAAAGACCTAAGGTGCTCTGTCAGCTGCCAGACAATAGTCAATGGAGCATTAAGAACAAATAAGGGAAATAGTTGATTGAGAAACCAACAATCAAGGAATTTAGGGGGTAGGAAAATGTTATTTTGAGGTTGAGATGATTATATTGTGTGTTTGGGCTATAGCTGGACGGAAGATTGTCATACTTTAAGTTTTTAAGTGAGAATAAGTAATTATACTAACAGATTGATGATGGAATTATATGGAATTTCTAATCAATATCCTTTTTTTATGCAATTTGTGATATAATTTCCTTGTCTTCTAATCAGCTTGGCACATTCGCAGTTGTCATTAGACAAACAAATATTATATGGATGGTTTTTATTGCATGTACTGGGGTCATAAATATTACTCTAGCACATAGAAGAAGTGTTGAGAAAGTGGACGAGTCTCATGAGTCAGTCAGGAAAAATGGTCATTTAACTCCCAGCAGTAGTGCCACTGTTGCTTCCAACTTGAGAAAAAGAAAGTCCAAGGGCATTGTGGACGAGGATGATAAATCTAGGCTCAGTACTAGTATCTATTCAGCAACTCAAACATCAGGTTCTGTTCCACATGTTTGATTAATTTATATTAGTTTGTAATAGTGAAACGTTCTTATTTCCAAAGTGTGCATTTACTGTATCAGCTTATTTTGGTGGATCTTAGCAAATGAGCAAGTTAATTTTGGAGCTTTCCATAAATGGTTTTTCTGACCACTTTGTTTGTGTAGTCTGTTTGGAATCCTAATGGTACATCTTTGTGACATTGTCATACAGGGCTCCTTGATGAGATTCACGATATACTTTTGACTGCATGGCATATGAAGTGGGATATTTTGTGCTCATTCAGCCCCTTCTTTTTGGCATTGGTGGCCTTTTTCACTTTTGTCTATTGGAATGGAAGTGTAGTTCTTGGTAATCTCTCTTATCATGTTCTATTTTTTGCTAGTAATAGGTGTTTTTGTTTTATGTTTTCTAAAATGTTTTTTTGCAATCTCTCCAAATATTGCAGGCGCAAAAGAAGCTCATGCAGTTTCTCCACATTTTGCGCAGATAATGTATTTTAGTTTGGTTTCCACTCTGGCTGTGGCTCCTGTACACCTCACTATGGGTCCAGCTAAAAGGTTGCTTTGGTCATTCTGGAAGAACAAACTCCTTAGTTTCTTTCAAGTGCTTGTCGCCTTTATTACCAGCTTCCTTTCTGTGCATTTTTTTAGGTCAGTTGAGATAACCATCTAATATGCTGAGGAAATTGTGGTATGGGTTAGTTTGTCCGCAACAACTACTTCAGCTTGTTTCTTTGTCCTCCTTCTCGTGAAGATTGAAGATTTAATGTACATTTGGGACGTTTCTTTCAATGTTTAATCACATATGTAATGTTTTGGTGCAGCATTACTCATCCCTATCTTCTTTCTGACAATCGGCATTACCCCTTTTATCTCTGGAGGAAGGTCATAAAAGCTCATTGGTCAATGAAGTATCTTCTAGTTCCTCTTTATGTTTATTCCTGGTTCTCAATTTTCAGTATACTGGGTTAGTACATAGCTCTTTCCATCATGCTTATGTCTATTTATTTTAGCCATGGTGAGGCCTTATTTATCTTTGATTGGCAGAGAAAACTCAAAGGAAGATCTGGGTGTTGGCATATTTCTTGGCTACAGCTGCAGTTCTTGTTCCCGCTCCTCTAATCGAGTTCAGATACTACGCAATACCCCTCTATTTTATGATTTTTCATTCCGATATTAACAATGATCTACATTGGCTTCTGATGGGGGTTCTTTATATAGTCCTTAATATCTTCACCATGATGATGTTCTTGTTCCGACCCTTCCATTGGGACCATGAACCTGGGATCCAGAGATTTATATGGTAGATAGGGAAATGAAAATAGGCTTAGAAAAGGTCCATTGATTATGAAAGATAATTTTGAATTTCTTTACCAGGCTCAGATATTGCCCTGACCATATTTTAGTTTTCAAATTGAAATAACAGAAAATCTCACCTTCATTGTATCATGGAAGTTATATACGGACACCTTTTGATTTTTGAGAATAGAAATTTATACTTTTATCATCCATTTGTTTCGCCAAGTAAGGGAAAAGAAAATCCAGAAATAGTTGCTTTCATGCTTTAGATTCTTGTGGCGTTTATGTGTGAGAAAGTCTGCCGATTCGTTTTTTTATATGACAATTGCCTCTCACTCGTAAATGGATTTGTAACACTCTTATACAATTGCCATAAAGTTATTTCTCTTTAGCATTCTAGTTTAACACCAAAAAATCAAAGACAGATGAGCCAATTCTCAGTGAATTCACAGGGAAAGTCATCTGCCACCCTTTCTTTTTTTAGACAGAAACCATATCAAAAGGTTTCAATATGAATAATTTTGTTGTTGTTGTTGTTTTTTTTTTTTATGACTGGGGGGTGTTTGGGTCAGTTTATGCTCACCTTAGCTCATCCTCTAGGATCCTAGAACTATCGGCCGGATAAGAGTTTTAATGGTTATCCCTATTAGCAACCCAAGAGAGACTCAAATTCATGATCTTTTGAATAATACACTTAAAAGTCTATGTCAAACCATTGGCCACTTAGAGGTAGTTAATATATATTCGTTGTAAATTATTATTTAAAAAAAAAAATTGAAAAGTTTGACAAATTTGAATGGTTTACGAGTCTATGATTTATTACTTCAATACTTCCCCTCAAAGCTAAGTATAGCCAGTGACATTTCATTTAGTTTGTTCTTTAGGCTATTATGGAAGTGAGTTGCTGAATATATCAATTATCCAATAATCTAGAGAAGGGTCTTTTTTTATTTTTTATTATTATCATCTTCTCATTGACGGCACAAGTCTAATTTCATATGTTTTGTCATTGAGTGTAGCACATGATTTGCAGACAATATGACAACACTCAGATTTTCACATCATCTCAAAGGAGGCTTTGTAAGTACACTTTGCAGCCATAATGTATCAGTATCATCACTTACATGAGCTATGCTTTGATATCTTGATATTGTTGCTTGCTTTTTTGAACTCTAAGATCCCAAGTTTCCTTTCGAATAAACAAAATTATCTGTGTTTGTTTTATTATTTTGAATAGTATTTTTGAAATATTATTAGTAGGTAGAGTTAGGTGATTATTAAGATGTAAAATTTAAAAATTAACAAAAAAACCTCCCCTAAGTTTGCTAGTTTAACTTAACACTCCAATATATAAATTTTTGTAAAATGACAAAAACACCTCCATCACACACAGTTGCCAGATTCCGGCCACCACCGTTAGAATCTGGCAATCCAATTGGTCGTGTGCTAAGATGACATTTTCTAGTCAAATCCATTGTAGATCGAGCCGAAGAAGACAAGATCTACGGTTAGATCTAGCCATTGATGATCAGATCTAGTCGTGTTTGGTCATCAACGACAACCAAAGATATGGTCGTTGTTAGCTACGAACAAAGACCTGGTCGTCAATAACCAGATCTTTGGTCGTAGATCTGGCCTTTTCTAGCCAGATCCGCGGTAGATCTGGTCGGTAAATGATAGATCGGTGCACTACTAGTCAGATCCAACCAGTAGTGCACTATTATACTAGATTCCGACCACCTTCTGGTGGTGGTGACTAGAATCTGGCAAATGTAAATGGGTGGGAGTGTTTTTATCAATTTCTAAACTTTTTTTTGGAGGTGTTTAGTTAAGTTAATAAACTTAGGAGATTTAAATAGTTGAATAAAATATAATAGTATTTTCAGAATTGGAAACAAATGTGTATTTTGGAAAAAGTATTAATAGGATAGGGAAAAATAATTAAATAAAGACTTTCTATTAATCAAGATCAGTTGTCCACTTAGCATTTGAGTACCGTATAACCAAAAGATTACTTAGCTTTTAGCAATAGACCATGATCAACAATGCCTTTAGATATCTCAATATTCTCTTAATTGTCTTCCAATGAATATACAGCAGATTTTCATCAACCACCAAACTTTATTAATACAATAAGATATCCAAGGCTTGGTTGATGAACAGTTACTTTCAGTTTTTTGAACCAGGCATCTGATGCTTGTTTCAGGTATAATAAGCTGCTGTTTCAGGTATAATCAGATTGATAAAGAAATCTTAAAGTTGGGTTGAGGTATGTTTTTTCACAGGAATTGTGTTGCTGCCTTGAAGTGGGAGAAAGCAAGGCACGTTTCCCTCTTTATCGACCTATTTTTACTTTTTAAGAATTCTCACAATAAGATACAACCTCCAATGAGAAATTCAAGAATTTCCATATCTTCATTTATAAACATCAATGTTTTAAAACTCGACCGTCTCTTGATCCGATCAACACGTCTTTGAGCAAAGTTTAGGAGTAAACAATTATAACAAGTTACAAATTTATAGTGTTTTACAGTTCTTAAACACCGAAATCCCTAATTCCTCTCCCTATGTTTGTCTCTTCCTTTGAATTCACGACATGTTGTCCTTATCGTATATCAAACAATTATCGCCATTCTCTCTTCTTCTGGAGTATTTTTATAGGAAAAAGGTTTAGGAATTTAAATGAAATAGGTTAAGGAAATTAATTTAAATTATAACCAATGAGGTAAATTATTAATAAAATTTATTTGTTTTATTAAAAATAAATTTAAATTTCAACCTCAGTCGGCATGATTGAACTTTCTAATCACTTTTGACTCCATTATTCATCGATATTACATTTGACCCCCGAAGAAAATTCTTCTCCATCCCTGACACTAATATAGTACCTCACACTTATTTTAAGGGACAAGATTGATACGATTCTTTACGAGTTTATTATGGAAATTAAAATAGCTATAGGGGACGTTTGGTTGGCGGTAATGTCAGATTATTGGGTATGTCATCTGATATTACTTGATTATCACGTTTGTTTGTCAAGTAATATAAATTCCGGTAATCTTCAAATACTAATAGTAAACTATTGGTAAATTAGAGGTAATCTGATTATCTCCTTTTCTTCTTAGGTATTCTGAGATTACCAGGGTTATCATTTTTTGTTACAATTTTATCCCTTATTAATGAAAATTTTGGACATAATGCCCTCTTTTAAAATAAATTTACATTAATATCTTATTTCAATTTTACCCTTATTTAACTAAAATTTTGGACAATAATGTCCTTGAATTTAAAACAATTTACAAACCACGCCACTCAGCCACCACCCCACTGCCATCCACCTACCACCACCGCCTACACGGCCACACCACACCGCCTCAAAAAACTCGTCAGAGTCCCTAAAAAAGAACGAGTTTCGATGGGAGGCTCTGGAGTCATCATCGCCAATATGCCGAAAACGGCCATATCAGGCTAGATATGGTCATTTTCGCCATCAATATGGCCGAAATGGCCATATTGAAGCCTCTTGGTCACGGTGAGTTGCTGATGGAGACTTTCGGAGACTTCCGACGGTGGTCTGCTTGGCGGCAGGAGCGGGGGTGATTTCATAATAAATTAAGTTTTATATAGGCAGGGGTGTTTAACTAAATCAGAAATATTGGGGGTTAAAAGAAATTATTCAAATTAATAAAAATAATATTATATTATTTGTAAAGGGGACAATTAGTAATTTAAATAACATACCCACCAATTTATTCCCCATAACCAACCATATTAAATAAACATACCCACCAACTAACCAAACACATTTTCTTAAAGATTCCCAGTAATCTTTCAAGGTAATCTATATCTTTCCAGTAATCCAACATTCCCATAATCTAACATTCATGAACCAAACGCCCCCATAGTGGCAAATGCTTTAGTGAATCAATGGGAATCCTCGGCTCGCGCTCTCTGATTTGGTGGGGGAGTTTATTAAAAAGACATTTGAATTTTACATTTAATTAAAAGGCTTACAAGTTTTTAAGTGTTAACTAATAGTCATATTATTATTAAGGGTAATTAGTGCTTAATTAGGATTAATGAGTTTATGTAATCTTTTCAAAATTAACTATATTCCCACAAACCCAAAATTGTTGCAAACAAACCCAAACACCTTCTTCTTCCTCCCGCCATTAACGCTCTCTACCTCTGCATCTTCTTCTCTTCTTCTTAGCTCGTCTACATCTTCTTCTTCCCTGTATCTTCTTCTTCTTCCTCCTTCCTGTACATCTTCTTCTTCCTCTTCCTCTATATCTTCTGTTCTCTCCGCCTAACCTTTCCTTCCTCCCCATTAACATCTTCTCCGGCAAAGATCCCCCTCCTCCTCCTCCTCCTCCTGACATTTCTCTAGTATGTGTATCTCCTTTTTATATTTTATATTTAGATTTACAAAGATTAATAATGGAGGGTTTGGGTTATATTTTGATTTAGTTGTTTAGGTTGTTGGTTGTGTTTATGTAATGTAGTTGAAGGAGTGAAATTTGTTGAAAATTTATTCTGGGTATTCATTCTGGGTATGAGGGATCGATTGTATGGAGATGACTAAAAATGTGTTCTGGTACTGGATCGCTTAGCGATCTGGTAGTCGGTAATGCAGCAGATAGATCGCTTAAGCGATCAGGTATGTGGCATAAGATCGCTAAGCGATCTGGTTAAAGTCTGTTGTATGGGAGCAGATCGCTTAAGAGATCAGTAATGGCATAAGATCGCTTAAGCATCATGGTTATTTTAACTGTATCGCTTAAGCGATCCAGTATAAATAACCATGATGGCTTAAGCGATACATCAGACCAAATATGCGAATGTGCAGATTCTTTTTAAATATTTGAACCCTTAGTACAACATTTAAGAATATTGTTTTTCTTGCATTACGGTAGTTGGCTATTAATACATGGGACAAGTTGTTTTGGGGTGTTGAATAGTTTTGGTGGGGTGGAGGAAGAAAGTAGTGAAGTGGATTGAAGAGCAAAAAGTTATACCAATTGCTGGTAGCACAAGGTTAGTTTTGATGAGTTGATTGATGAAATAATTAGAAGAGGTAATGTTAGTTGCTCGCGTAGTGATTTAGTTGTGAGTATGTTTTAAGCAGAGCTCCTGAACATTATAAGGTACCTCCTGCTATATTAAAGTCGGATGAAAG